CAGTTGTGTTAATTCTAGTACAAACCAGGGAGAAGGAAGTACATTTTGCTATTAATCAGTTTTTCAAAATTGGGGATAAATAGTTCAACATCTTTCCAAGTTGAACTTGAGAATTTAGAAGTGAGCTAAGACTTCTAAAAATCTGTATTTTACTCTTACATGCTGTTTTTAAATTTGACCATTTGGGGAGTTTAAAAGCTTAAATGGGTATACAATGGTGAGTTTCCAAAATTAGCCTTATGCCTTGGCTTGTTGAAGCAATACATTGGGGTTTTGTGGTAGTTACAAGTCACAGAGAGCGGTTTGGGTTCAGATGGGACAAGAGAACCAGTTTTAATACGTTCTGGTAATTGACACAATACTCTTTTTTTCAAAATGTATATAAAACCACGTTTTTAACTGTTTTGTATAGATTTCATTATAAATAACTAAGCATTTTATGACTTTGACATCATTTAATTGTATATAAATGTATAAGCCTAACTGCCCACGTTTTGGTGCTGAAGTACTGTAAGTAGATTTCATCCAAAGTCTAATACAGTTTTTTGCGTCAGTCTTTTCTTTTTAAACTGTCATTTTACTGTTGATATTGTAGTTATGGTTAAATTCCAATTGGAATTTACAATACAAACCATAAAAACTGTTCTGAATTCACCTATGTTAGAACTTGCAGTAACCCCTAGAGGGGGCTCTTGGTTTTCTCTAATGTCAGTTGTCTTATAAACTAAGTCACTAGGATCTTCATATACTTCTTTTTTCCTTCTGTCTTCTTTTTCCATCAACATTAGTTTTAAAATAGTGTAGAATATAATTGTGGAGAAATGGCCTTATAAATTTGACGTGTGAATACTGGAATAGTGGGTTATGAAACTAATGATTTTTGTGTTACCTTTGTATTGAAATAAGTATTGGTTTGGATTCTGATGTCCTTAGTGCTCAGGATTGAGGAGAATAAGATGTTATAAATGAAACATTCCACATATCTTTATTTAGCAATACATTGGGGTTTTGTGGTAGTTACAAGTCACAGAGAGCGGTTTGGGTTCAGATGGGACAAGAGAACCAGTTTTAATACGTTCTGGTAATTGACACAATACTCTTTTTTTCAAAATGTATATAAAACCACGTTTTTAACTGTTTTGTATAGATTTCATTATAAATAACTAAGCATTTTATGACTTTGACATCATTTAATTGTATATAAATGTATAAGCCTAACTGCCCACGTTTTGGTGCTGAAGTACTGTAAGTAGATTTCATCCAAAGTCTAATACAGTTTTTTGCGTCAGTCTTTTCTTTTTAAACTGTCATTTTACTGTTGATATTGTAGTTAAGGTTAAATTCCAATTGGAGTAACTCAAACTGAAAAATACAAACCATAAAAACTGTTCTGAATTCACCTATGTTAGAACTTGCAGTAACCCCTAGAGGGGGCTCTTGGTTTTCTCTAATGTCAGTTGTCTTATAAACTAAGTCACTAGGATCTTCATATACTTCTTTTTTCCTTCTGTCTTCTTTTTCCATCAACATTAGTTCTAAAATAGTGTAGAATATAATTGTGGAGAAATGGCCTTATAAATTTGACGTGTGAATACTGGAATAGTGGGTTATGAAACTAATGATTTTTGTGTTACCTTTGTATTGAAATAAGTATTGGTTTGGATTCTGATGTCCTTAGTGCTCAGGATTGAGGAGAATAAGATGTTATAAATGAAACATTCCACATATCTTTATTTAGTTAAATAATAACCCTGCCAGTATGTCATTTTAGGTAGTTAAGGTTTTGATAGCTATTCAGGAGATTTTACTCGTGTTTTAATGAAACCACAGCAATCAACAAAAGTGAAGAAGTTATGCTTTAAGTTGTGAAAGTTCCACATTGCTACAGGGTGACAAAAAGTGGCTTAATACTGATGATGTTCGTGGCAGTGGACAGTCTGTTGTGCTTTGCATAAGTCAGCACAAGGAATGGTCTGTATTTCCATACCCAGTTGTGAAGGGTCCAAAGCAGGTGACACACACAGTTCTTCTGGCTTGTATCAAATTTTCATCGTCACCTGGGCTCTTGCAGTACTTTGAGTGTCCCTGGTATATGGAGGACTGGAAGGCCATGAGAATATAAGAGAGAGCAAGACTTTTCTTAAACACTTATGATTAAGAACATTGCCCTAAGTTTCAGTTTTAGGTGAAGGTATATGCTCTCCCCAGCCAAAAATAGATACCAAGAAAGAGTGTAAGGTGAATTCAACACCTAATGGATTCACTGTCTTGTTGAGTTCTGGTTCAATTTTTCCTGATGTTTTATGTAAGACTTTTGTTTGCCTCTTTAGTGATGACTAGAGGAAAGGTGTGGACAACTACAGTGGACTATTTGACAGTTCTTTGAAGACAGCAAATTGTTTAACATCTGAAAGCTTTTCATGTTTCTATGAGAAGGGATTGATTTAAGGTTGGCAAGTTGAAGCACATGGTGGGGATGTCTTGAGGTGATGTGAGAAATTTAGAAGAAGGAACTGTGGTGATCAGTGTGTTCATTCTTGACATTCTTCTCTTGCTGCTTTGCCAAATTTCAACGTGTTGTTCTTCAGATTCTTTTGAATTTGTGTGTTTCAGCACTTCATCATAGGAATACCTTTACAAATAAGAAATAGACAAGATGAGCTAAAATGTAGGGTAGATACAGTTGGGTTTTTTTAAACATGATTTTTTATAATGACAGTAAAATAAGGTGCTTGGAAGCATTTGGACTTCTCTCCTTTGCATGAACTCCAGGCCTGTTCTTTTGTCCTGCCTGGCAGATGTGCAGCTTTTTCCTACCTGCCCTTGGGATACTTCATCCCCCTGCAGCCATGTATCCACTTCTCACAGCCCTATAAATATCATCAAACTGCTAAAAATAAAACATTGGTATGTAGAACAATACTTGCATATCCCCTGTCCCTCATAAGCTGCATCTTCGTTCCTGAAATTAATTTGATGTCCTTTCTTGGAATGGAAGAAGGAGTAGGTATGGTGGTGGTAATTTTTGGTACTGGGAATTGGCAGGTAATAGGCTTGTATCTATCTTATCAGAAAACTGGATAAACTGTAGAGCAAGTGAAATGGCATTAATGAGTTTCTTTGAATTCAGAAGTTTAATAAACTGGTGCTGTAGCAACACACATGAATTTTCAAAAAAGGATGCTAAGAAAGTGAACTGAAGTTAGAGGAAGTACTGAAACTAGGGGGAATTTATGTGTCCTTTAAAAGTCCAGGGAATCACAGCACACTGCATGTTTTCTGGAAAGGTTAAACCATTGTGGTGACTGTATTTTCAGTCTCAGTGTTTCTCTGACTTAGAAAACAAAGCCCTGAGCTTTTGAAATTTCAGGGCAGAATAGAAAAAGGGCCCTTAGGGCCCTTTGAACAGAATAAATTACTAAATCAATGGGATTAAAAAAACCAAACAAACCAAACCAACCAACAAACAAAACTACCTATCTAAAACCTTCTAAAAAATTAAAAATTTTGAATTAAGACTATATGCTTTTGTCTCTAATGCAGAAATAGTTCCTGAAGTCTTATGATTTCACAAGTGAAGGTGGTTGTGCATCCCCACAAAGGCCAATGATTTCAGCTTGACAACATTGAATCCAGAGAAAACCGATCATAATTTAGGATAATGAACTAGAAAAATACTGCTTTGGGGTTTGCATGTATTGGGAAAAAAAGTATGTTTAGCACCTGTGTGTCTATGGTTGGCTCCTTTCCCTAAGTTTTGAAGTAAACCATGAAGAATGTTTACTAACAGCCTGTGCATGGTTTCCATCCAAACTGTGGGACTGTTTTTTTCCCCACTCAAAGTCTGTCCTGAGAGTTTTTGAATCTGTTTTCTTCCAGCAGAAAAGAAACACTTACCTTATGATAAATTTAGAGCTTGACATAGTTTATCAAAGAGAAAATTAGGGTAGAGGTACCTTTAGGTATTTGTGGGTTCCTTTGGAAGAAGAAACTAGCTGGGACATTTCAGGCTGGTGTAGAGGCAGAGTATCATCATCAAATGATTTGGATTGGAATGGATCTCAAAACTCATCCAGTTCAACCCTCCAGCCATGGGCAGGGACAGCTTCCACTAGGTTGGAATGGATCTCAAAACTCATCCGGTTCAACCCTCCAGCCACCTTCCACTAGGCTGCTCCAAGTCCTGTCCAGCCTGGCCTTGAACGCTTCCAGGGATGGGGCAGCCACAGCTTCTCTGGGCAACCTGTGCCAGAACCTTGACACTCGGACAGGGAAAAAAAAACAACAACAAAACCCTTGGAAAAAAACCCCAGTTGTAAGATTGAGGACAATTAACTGGGATTGACAAGGGGTATAGTATTTTCTGTCATTTGCAGTCTTTGCACAGATGCTGCAGTTTGAAATCTAGTGGCCTTGTATCTCCAATACTGGCAATTGAGAGTTGCATTAGTATGCTAAGGATTTAAACTGTGAAAAAAAAGAGAACTTGGTGGTACCTTGAGGCATGTAGAGCTATGACTGGCATGCAGAGGTAGTTAATCATCTTGGATGGGTTTGGTGTTTTCACTTTACTACTTTGGTGAAAAGTTGCTGAAGTCTTAAAATAGGAAAATCAGTACCTGGGAACCTGCTCATTAATTCTAGAGAAAAGGGCCTTAGAATCATTTGGTACACAAAAGATAATAAGTTTTCAAGCACTGTGGACTGAAGAGTAATCAAATGGTCTTACATAATTTTTGAAGCCCAGGACTGCCCCCACAGGCATGATGAAACAGGATGATTTATAAGGTCCTTTCCAGCTCAAACTATTCTGTGATTCTGTGATAACTGTTAGAAATGTCCAATACTCCAGACCTGGTCCTACTTAAAACTTCCTATGATTTTAGTTTTGCTCAATCTTTGGCCTCAAAAAAAAAAGAAAAAAGAAAGGGAGTTTTTTTGTTTGGTTTTGTTTGTTGGTTTTTTTTGGTTTTGTTTGTTGGTTTTTTTTGGTTTTGTTTGTTGGTTTTTGTTGGTTTTCGTTTGCTTGTTTGTTTGGGGTTTTTGGTTAGTTGGTTGGTTTTTTGGTTGGAGTTTTTTTAGGTTTCTTGTTGTTTTCATTAGCTTTCCAGCTCAGTAAGGTTTTTAGCAGTTTTGAAATTTTCTGTGATCCTGGTGATTGTGTTTTCTGTAGCCATTATTAAATGGATTTGGAAAAGCTACTCTTGTCACCCAGCTGGGAGTGGGTGATGAGGACCATGGGCTTTTTGGGCTATTAATGAACCCTTCAGAGAGTGGTAGGCATTTCAGCCAGTCTCTTATGCACTACATATGGGTTTTAGACTCCATAGACTGGCTTGGCTTGGAAGGAAGGAACCAAGATTATCTCATTCTGTCACTTGAATGCCCAAACTAACTAGCATGAATCCTTTTTGATGGCACTTTTACTAAAATTTCGATAATTCTTACTTGTAAGAGCCTAATGTATTACTTATTAGAGCTTATTAAACATTGTTCAGAAATTGGCTTTTATGGTAAAAAAAAAAAAAAAAATCAAATCAGCTTGTCACAGCTCTTAGCCAGAACTGTCCCAGAGAATTACAGACTCCAGTACTTTGTGACTTCCTTCATGTCAGGCTCTGCCAGAAGCCAGCTAAAGGCTCTGGAGGTCTCTTTGCACAGGTTTTTTTACTGTTAAGGATGCTGCCCGAGACCTGCATACAGCAAAGAGCTGGGAACAGTTCTTTGTGCCCACACATCACAGTTTGACAGGAAGCTCTGGAGATTATCGTGTCCAGCCCTCTTGCTCAAAGCAGGATCAGACTGCTCAGGACTATGTCCTGTGGGGTTTTTGGAAACCTAGCGTGATGGAAACTCAACAACCTTTTCCAGTGACCACCTGTGCATTATTTTTTTTTTTTCTTCTTTCCTAGTATGTGCTGTGTTTTCTGGTTTTTCTCTTGGTTTGTTTTGGATGTGAAATAAAAATACTATATTGAGAAGAGGTTCACAATGACATGAGAACAAACCACAGGGAAGAAGCACAAATTTAGTGAGAACAAAGTGTTGTAGCTGCAGTGTTGCCAGAAATAGGGATATTTGTTTTCCTCTCCAGACTTCAGCTTGTTCAGTTCTCCCTGCAGCCACTTCAGGACTGCAGAGACACAGGCTACTAACAAAACACTGTCATCAGATGTCACTTTCTAGTATTTCTTAATATTAAAAAGGTGTCAAGAGGAAGATTGGAATGCTTGGAAATGTTTTCCAACTGCATCAATCTACAGGTGGATGCAATAGCTGTTACTGAGCATTGTGCAGCCTTAGTTTTTGCATGAAAATATATAATATAGATCTATAGGTGACCACAGTGCAGTTTTAGCTCTTGATTTATGCCTTTTGTTCAAATATACCATGTAAATGTGACACATCTGAGCCCAGAATTACTAATTTGAGAACTGGACGCCTGTCTTCCCTGTGAAGCAGGGATTTTGGTCAGGGTGGAGCCTTGCTAGAGCCATTCTTTGAAGATGCACATACTCATTTGGTTGCAGATTGTGTTCCCCTCTGAGCTTGTCCTGAGGCATGCATGAGTTCTCCTGCAATAAATAGAATTGAGGAGACCGAAATCATAAGAAAAATCTGCCAAAACATCTTAGCCCAGGAAGATGCTGCAAAGCAGAGCTTGCTAAGTACAGAGAACACAGGATAAGGCTTTACTACAAATAATTGTTATCAAATGGCTGTATTGTAAATAATTGCTATGAAATTGAACTGATAGTAGGGCGTGGACTCAGTGAGCAACTGCCTCGTCTGATCAACCACTGTGAAAGTAGTGCAGGGCTTGGGGTTACTTTTGGTTAGGGTTAGCACAGGTGCTTTATGGAAGCTTATTTCATGGAAATAAAATAGGAACCTCAAGCTGAAATAAACGAGTTGAGGAACAGGAGTTGCAAACTTTAAATTTGAGGGTAAATGTAACCTGGATCCTTTAAATTCTTTCAATCAAAGTGCAGATGGCACAAGAACAACTCTGGCCCCAGAGCTTTAGTCCCATTGCAAAAGTTGGGTAGAAGAGTTGATCTGGTAAGTTTTTTTTATTTGGATGTACTTGGTATGTACAGATGGAATGTGGGAAACAGTGGTGTACAGATGTCAGCAGGAGAACTGGAGGGGAACTACCAAAATCCCCTCCAGAGAGCTGTAGCTCCTGTTACGGTGAGACAGCCACGGTTTGCACATCACCTAGATGGTTGATTTGGTAGTGGTACCCTTGTTTGCAAAACTTATAAGAACTCAAAAAGTTACCAAGTTTCTGACTGAGATGGGCTATGCTCCCCATTACCTCTTTTCTCCTTACCTTCCATGCCTAGAGAAAAAAGTTTAAATTACCCAACTTCATTCTTAAAACTACTGGAAATCATGTTTCCTGTCCAACAACTCTTTTAGGAGAGTGAGGTTCATTTTCATTACAAATCACAGTCTTGATCTTGGTTCAGGCAGAAAGGGTGTCCTTTGTGTGATTTCCAAAGGACTTCATGATTTCCCTTTCGCTTTTTCTCTGTCCTTTCCTTTCTGGACTTTGTGGTCATATTGCAGTTATCTACAGCCTAGAGACTAGCAGGACAGTAGTAATGTAAGGAATGGAGGTTCTTAGGTCAAATCTAAATTAAGTTCCCCTTGGAAATTGCCAATAAATTCTTTAGTTAGTTAGGATGACTGTAGAAAAGCATGAGACAGCTTCCCTCAACATAGGCCTAAAAGATCTGGATTTCCTTGCCATGGAGGCTGCCTCACAGAACTGAGGTTTGCTGTGGGATGGGACACTGGAACAGGCTGCCTACAGAAATGGTGGAATCACTATTCCTGGAAGTGTCTGAAAGATGTGAACATGGCTTGGTTGTGAATATGGCAGTGCTGGAGTAACAATGCGACTCAATAATCTTTTCCAAGCTAAACAATTGTGCAGTTTTTGATTTGGAGGAGGGCATGTGACACTCTGAATGCATGGCACAGACCAAGGTGCTGATGTTGTGTTACACATGCACTAATTCTTTGGAGAGACGCATGAGCTACTGCACAGGTCAGTGGAGTTCACGGGGCCATTGAAAAGCAGTGGAAGAAAGAGAATGCCTTCTGTAGCCTGGTGAGGACAGCAGGTGAAATGACACATGAACTTGGAAACTTCAGGTTGTCAATCACACCCCTGAGAGGTGTGGAGACATCAACCATGCAATCATTGCGATTCTCCCGTGGGATTTGTGAAGACTCCTGGATGTGATGAAATTAAGCAGTACTGAAGCAAAGACAGACATTATAATGACCCCCCAAGGACTGTGGAGTCTCCTGTGAGGAAGCTAATGCGTTTTCATCCTTCACCTTTTTTTTTTGGCTACACAGTCCTCCACGAATAAATGAGTCCACACTACAAATACATTCCCCATTGCCAGACATCCCATTTGCTGCTGCATCCTATGACAACTTAAAACAACGACAGCTCCTGCATTATTTTTTGAGCTCCCTCATAAACCCTGGAGTATAATAGGCAATGGAAACACCAGGATGCACTTGGACAGCTTGGATTTTATTCCTATGGAAAATGGTGATTGTTCCTCTTACAGACTTAAGAAACTGTTTCTAACTTATGTTTCAACTTTTTGGCTTGATGTTTTATGAAAATTCAAAGTCTTTTGATTTCAGCTCTCTTTTTGTAATGTTCCACCCATCCTGCTGATCATAATATTTCTTGTAGAGTCACAAGTTTCCACCAAACCAGTGCAAGAAGCCCAATGAAACAGAATAGTCTCACTTCTGAAATTCTGGTGTGTGTCCTTCTGGTGTGACTTGTCCATCAGACTTGTCTTGTGCTTCCCTTGGCCAGATGTGTTTTCTAATGGCAACTTAAAATAATACTCACTATTGCTGCTGTTGGAGTATCACCAAAAATGTTTTTTGGTACTTAATTTCTGCATTTAATTTCTTGATACCAAAATACATTTTCCAACTGGGGTTTGGGGGTGGTTAGTGTAGCTGTCTTCTGGTTTGGCTTGGCAGGAGCCCAGCCTACAGAGGTCCATAACATGTTCCATGCTGTGCACAGTGCCTTGGCTACAGCTTTGCTCCTCTTAGTTTGTGGCTGTAATGTCCCCATTTTGCTATTGTGGGGTGTTCAAATTTGTCCTGTTCTTTCACAAACATTTTGAAAAATTTCTTCTTAATGCTAGTGCCTTGTGTTGGTCCATCTTCTCCTCACCAGAGGAGTCACCATGGGGACTCCTCAACCTCACTCCTGCTTCCTTTTCCTTACAGTCTCACATTAGCACACATATTTAGTTTTCTGTTATTATTATTTACTGTTTTATTACTACTCGGGTAACACCAGTGCCTTCTGAACTACGTAGGATACAGCTTGTTTATGTAACAGAAAAGCAAGGAGTCTCTGCAATTTCTAATGCTCTGAGGACAAAGAGTAGCTCAGGGCCATGAGTAGTGTGGATAGGTTAAACAACAAAACTAAAGGCAAATTATACTCTGGATTTCACAGAACCATAGAAAGGCTTGGGTTGGAAGGGACCTTTGAAATCATCTCATTCTGACCTCCCTGCCATGGGAACACATTCCACTAGACCAGGTTGCTCCAAGCTGCATCCAGCTGGCCTTGAACACTTCCAGAGATGGGACAGCCACAGCTTCTCTGCACAACTTGTGCCAGGGCCTCACCACTCGCTGGGAAATGAGTTTCTAATCTAAAATTCTTCTCTTTTAAAACCATTGTCCCTGATCCTCCCTGGATTTCCATGGGTTTCTCTGCCACAGCTTCAATTTCTGCTTGCTTTCAGGTACAGCTACTCAGAATTCATTGTTTCATATGAAAAAAGTGAATAGTTTTGCCAAAATAATGGAACTTGATTGTAATGGAAGTGAAGAAAGACTGCTGTTTGGAAAAGAGTGATTATTTTAATTGGATGCTTCATTTTTGAAACATGAGCTCATGAGTTCATATGTTTCTGGTTTTCTTTTATGAATGGTGAAGGATTTTGCTGGCAGAAAAACGTACGTGAATTTTAAATTCAACATATGATTTCACTCTGTCCCCCTCAAAAACATACAATTATTGACGTAGACGACAAATCAAAGGGTCAGGTGTCTTTATTGGATGCCACCTGCACGAAGCTCTCTAGGAATGCAGCCAGGCCTCTCCAGCCATGCTGTAAGCTGTCTCTTGTTTTTCCAGGAGTGTAAACAATCCCATGCAGATGTGTCACAGAAAACCTAAGCCAGGACAGCCCAAACTGCATTGTGCTATAAATGGTTTCCTGTGAAGAACAATACCTAATCAGTTTTTATGTTGCAATTTGAGCGTGGGGGCAGGCCAGTCTTCTTCCTGATCTTTTGACAAAATAAATAGCTCAAAAAAATCAAGTTAATACCAGAAAACCCCAAATTATTTAATTTGGTTATGCCATGTACCAAGACACTATAAATACGAGTTTTTCACTATGAGAATGAATTCTTCACTATGGGGTGCAAGTAGATGATCTTTAAGGTCCCTTCCAACCCAAATCATTCTATGATTCTATATGTCAAATTGAATAAAAATAATTATGCTTCTGCATTTAATTTCTTGTTCTGCTGTTCACGCATCTCCCATATTCTGCTTTTACAGGTGAACTTTTGTAATAGAACTTTTAAGCACAAAAGGCTTGTGCTGAAGCAGGAAGACTATGCTGTATCTGAATGATGGGAACATCACCTAGCAATGACCAGTTTTGTATCAGTACTGAACTGCCAGTCTAAAAGCCACAAGGAAGTGTTGTTATTTTGGGGGAAAATGTGTTAACTTCACCAGACTGTTCAGATGGTGGGAAATACAGGTGGACCAGCTGTGTCTTCCAAGTTGAGAAGTATGCAGGAGTCCTTTTCATGTAGCCTATGGAAAAAACCCACATGAATGGCTGTAGTGGACCAATATCTTACCTCTCATCAGGACCCATCCCACTCCTGTCTCATGAGCAGACCCAGCAGTAGGATGCAATGTGAGCTCTGCCTCAGCTTGGCACATTTATAATAATGCATTTCTTTTCCCTGTGGAAAAATGTTATAATAACCATGTGGTTGTGGTTTTGTGTGTGTGGCACTTCTCCATTATATGGCAGCTGGGGACATGGTTTAGTGGTGAACACAGTGGTGCTGGTTTAATGAGTACTTGATAAACTTAGAGGTTTTTTCCCAACCTTAAGGACTCTATGATTAGTGTTTTCCTCATCCTCAGGCCTTTTTTCAAATAAACACCAGTAGGTTGCTGATCAGTTCCCTCCTTTGGGGAAAGCATGCTTTAGTGGTGAAGAGGCTTGACAAGGGCTCACATCACCAGAATTTCTGTGACCCCAGCCTAATAAATTGCTTGCTTTGCTCTTCGCCTTGGCTCCCCAAGCCTTTGGCCATCTACCTTCTCCACAGGGTAGTGCAAAGATAAAATCCATTTGTGATTGAGTTGCTTGGATACTGTTGGCGCTTGGGGCAAAATTAATAGTACAGAAATAGAAAAATGCATCTTCTAGAGTCTTTTCTCTGGTCTCCAACCCTCCTCATGTAATTAACCAACCACTGTGTCTTTCCTTGGGCCAGTCCAACATCCCAAGCTGCTGCCAATCTGGTGTCCTCGCTCAGCAGTTCTCTACAGGACCCTGCAACTTCTCTCTCCAGCCAGCAGCTTTTAATTGGTAAATCACTATCTTCTAGCACAATTCCTCCCTTCCCTGCAATGTTCCTGGTGATGCCTGAAGAATAAGACCCAACTAACATCCTCTTCCAGGGCCTTCCCCACGCTCCACTCTCTTCTAGCACAATTCCTCCCTTCCCTGAAGAATAAGACCCAACCAACATCCTCTTCCAGGGCCTTCCCCACGCTATCTGCTTCTCAGAGGAAGCTGTGCTCAATTTAGCCGTCTTTTGCTATTAGATCACATGTTATTTATATAGAGAGGGATTCTCTGATTATCTGTCTTTAACCTCTATTACTTAATTCAAATCCAAGTTTATGAGTTAGACTAAAAATCCACAGAAGTCATGTCTTTTGCTCTATGCTGGTGTAGCTGATTTCATTGCTTCTTGCAGCAAAGGAAGCAAAAGCAGAGCAACAGAAGAGCCTGTAGCTCAATCTGAGCATCTTCATGGCTGCCTTTTACCAGTGTAGTGTAGGGGCAACCTGTGTGATAGATGAGTAATGTGATGGTTGACTCTCATTATTAAAAGGCAAATATCATGCATAAATGTTAAGAGAAGTTTTATAGATTTATAGTTATGTTTTATCTCCTTGTGTTTTTATCAGGGGGTGACCTGAGAAGTCAGGATATTTGGGTGGGTCGGCTTGTTACTATGGCAGCACCTGACCTCCAATCCAGATTTAAGGAAGTAAACTCCACCACTGGACAGCCAAGAAGGAGCTGATGGACAGAACTTTGGGGGGTGGGGGGCTAAGGGTTAAAAGGTGAAACCTCCATTGTGTGGATGAGCTCATGGTGGGAAAAAATTGTTTGCTCCTGGCACCCTAATATTTTCTCTATTCAGTCTTCTGTTGTATTTTTGATAAAGCTTTAATAAACCTTTTAAATTTTTTAGAAGTGATTTTCATTTCTCACAACCTGCATGGCCATAGTCTCTCCTCCTCTCATCCTGCAGACAAACAAGAGAATTCTCTCCAAAGTCCTATTTGGCAGCTTCCAATGCTCCAGCTTTTTTAGCAGAGAACAGGAGGGGGATGTGGGAGGTGTGGAAACCCCCACCCTGAGCAGTTTGTACAGTAGTAGCAGGGAGTGTTTGTGATGGTAGCCAAACAACCTATTGACCTGGAGTGTGGGAGTGTGTGGGAGCAAGTCCAAAATCAATAATACCCAGAAACTTAACAACAATTAGCACAGGAATACAATTAAGCCTCCCTGCCTAAAATATCAGCTCAGAGCACTATCTGCTCAGAGTGTTTACCTACTTATACTTCCCACTAAAAATAAACAGATTAAAGTCACAAACTTACTGTGTGAGTAGGTGGGGGAAAAAACATCACGTGTGAAGCGTAGCCTGTGATATAAATTCCTCTGTGACACGTGTTCAGGCTTCCTTCCCATCTCACCCTCCTTGCAGCAGTTCAGACTGAGTTGCTAGACAGTCCTTGCCAACTAATACCAGGACAGTGGGTCTGCTTTGTGTCTATGTTGTTATCAATTGTCCGTAGCTACTTCAGCCACATTTCCAGGCAAAAGTTACCAGAAATTCCTACCTTATTTTGGGGTGGGAAAGTCTGTGTTGTGTTGTGATTGCTGGAGGGAATACAGACAAAACACTGAGAGAAAATAGCAGAACATTTGTGAAGAGATCAGGAATCTGGAACTCTTCCCTTCCTCCCAGCTGAATCTTCTCTGCCAGAACCGGAGTCAGACCCTTCCTCAGCTCTCCTTTTGACCTCATTAATTCTAGGATGTGTCAGTGTTCTCTGCTGGGTCTGGCTGGGAGAGGGGTCTGTGCTGCTGTGCTTGGGCAGGCAGGCAGGTGTGGGCAGGAAGCCCTGAGACCTGCCTTGTAGTGCACCCTGAGCACACTCATCTCCTGGGAGGCTGCTGCCTCTGCCTCGTGTGTCATGGCACAGATGGGAGCAGTGTGTGCCCTCTCAGGCACTGCTGCTTCCATGCATGGACAGCTTAAGCGCTCAGCTGGGTATTCCAAGATCCTCCCAGAGTGTCTTCCCAAGGACCAAGCAATCCCAACATCTCTGGTATCACCCCAGCAACCCTCTGGTAGAACAGTGGTCATTGGTCTTAGCAGAAACAGGACACAAAACCTGAGTAAGACACAGATCTGTTTGGTACAGGCCAGCTGGAAGATGGGTACCCAAGTTCAAGAAAGAAACCAAAAACCTCTTGCAAATTAATCTGATGTTCTTGAAAAGCTGGGGGTATACATTTATTTCAGAAACTTAATAGGAAACGAAAGCTACTTTAAATGCAGAGGATCCCTTACTTCATCTGAGTTGATTGTCTACCAAAGTATCTAAACCTGGGGACAACCACCTCAACCTGCTGGAAGGCACTTTAGCTCCTTCCTCACACATGCTTCAGGTTTTCTTGCTGAGGAAACCAGCACAGGAAGAGCAGAGGAAGGGGTGCAACTCAGTCTCCTTCCTACACGCATTTAAGAGTGAGAAATGCTGCCTGTTCCTACAGTTTTGCTGTTTCCCGATGGTCATCTCACCCTCCAACCATTTCAGGATGCACATAAGTGACCTTCTGCCAAAAATCCCATTTCCTTCCACACTCTTTTCCAGTCATGGATTTCGGGTATAAGCTTGTGCATCCAGGCATGAACTAACTTACACGTAGAAGTATAATCTTCTGTTGGATCCCTTCAGGGATGTAAATTCAGGATCCCTTCATTCAGGATGTAAATTCCTCTGGTCTTTGTCCCCAAGGAGATTATTAGAAACACTACCTTGGTGCCCCCATACAACCTGCACAGGACAGCAGCTGGGTGGAAGGCCGAGTTGTACAGCACAAATTGTCAGCCAGTGTCTCCTGGATGAAGGTGATGAGACTTTTCACTTGCTTTGAATACTTTGAATATTTTGTGGTTGTTACATGACATGCTCTTTTCTTAGGTGTCCCATACAGAACCACTGGTGGAGTGGTTTTTTTTTGTTGTTGTTGTTGTTTGAGCTTTTTTTTTGTTTGGTTGGTTTGCTTTTGTTTGTTTGTTCGTTCATTAGTTCATTTGTTTTGAGGAGAAAAATTATTTGTGGTTTTTTTCACTAGCAGAAAAAAATAGGTAACAGATCTTTTGATATAAAACTAAAATGAAAAATCCATCATGAAGAAAAAGGCTTTGAATAATATCTTTCAGACTAACTCCAAGAAAGGCAAACAGGTCCCCCTATTTTTTAAGTGATCCACAGAGCTGAACATCTGTCCCAAAATATTCAGGCTCCAGGCTGCCAGCAAAAGGAGGACTGGAGGTTAAGGGCTTGACCTTCCTGAAGAAACTGTACTTGGCCAAAAACTACTTTGGCTCAAAGGCTCACTGGGGGATGGACAAAGTTTCAGGCCAGAGCAGAAACTGATGCCAGTAGTCTGCTCAGATGAAACATTTTAACTGGAGATTGTTTTGTTTGTTTTGTTTTTCTGTTGCTTCTCTTTGCAAAGCTGAAACTTGTTCAGTAACGCTCTGTTTCAGTCTTTCATATGGATTATCAGACACTTAAGAAAATCAAACAAACAAATAAACAACGTGTAATGAAAGGTGGACTGGTGACCTCTTGACAAACCTTCAGCTGAGATTTTGGCAGAACTAAAAATAAAGAGCTGTTTTCCTTATTTGCTGCAACATTTTAAAGTTTCCACCAGCTTCACTGGGCACCATATGGACACTAAATATTATTTCCAGCACGATGCATGGTATATTACTCCCCTGACAAGGCTGTGATTGTGGAAAGTATTGTACCTCATTGTCTTTAACTAAACACAGGTGAAGATCACACAGGTGAGTTTGTTTGTAAATTCTGGGATTACATCAGCTGTCACCATAGAAGAGAAAGATAAACAGAACTAATAAAGTAATGAACCTTAAAAAATCCTCCCAAGGCTTCAGCCCATCCATAGTTTGCACAGTGATTTAACAGAAACTGCACTTGTAGGGAGGGGCAAGGAATATGGGGCTCTGAAGCCAGTTATTGGGTTTCATAATAGGGCTGGCAGATGTCTCTCCACATGTCTAAGTTACTGTCTGTCTAAAGGCACCACTGAGTCTGTCTGGTAGCAGAAGAGGGTGTCATTGAGCTCACAGTCAGGACCTCAGAGTTGCAGTGTCTCTCTCCATAGTTTTAAACCCAAACTCTTTTTCCTAGTCCACCTCAGATGTTAGCAAGTGCAACTCACCCCTCTGACATTTTAGAATTTCCATTATTTATATTTTACAGGATTAACTTCAATATAGGACACAAAACTGTCTCCTAGGCTAAAGCTTATAGACTCCGTAATTTCTTTTATGCCTAATCCACTCTCATCTCTAACACCACCCTTGAATCCCACCCAAACTAAGGGAATGGGGTTTTTTTATCCAAAACCCATAAAGCCCCAAAGAGGACTCACAATATCTGTGATGATGTCTCTGTGATGATACCAAGTTTATGTTCTATCCTGTTTTACAGTAGTGGAGAGAATCTGCTCAGGGGCTTCAGTCTACAAAACACCCAGCTGGCTCCTCTAGTCTGCTTTAACATTCAGAGTGAAGGCAAAGGTGCTGAAGAATAATAGCAAGGTGATTGTTCCCTTAGTGTACTGCTCTCAAAGGAATGCTGGGCAGGAAAAAAAGCTGCTTTGCCAGGGAAGTAGCTGAGATTCACAGCTGGAGGGGATTGACTCACATATAGAAATTGAAGGGCTGAATGGAGTCTGAAATTAAATAATAATAAAAGTCATTGGCCTTTTTTCAGGGGGGAAATTAATTTCTGCTCAGACTGAGTGGAGTTAAGTGGGCTGGAATAATGATAAACTGTGACTGTTCACTATTTTAATCAGTGTATTGGGTCAGTCAGGAAATGCTGGCTCTGCTTCAATGACATAAATGGGGAAAAAAATTATTCAGGTTCTTGTTCAGCAGCACAGGGAGACAGTCAGTGATGTATCATACCTTCATCCCTGCACACCAATGTAATTTGCCCAATTGGTAAGTAACCATGCAAAGAGAGTCCAGAGGAGACCACAAGGATGCTCCTTGTGGAGTGTCTGGAGGGCTGGAGCTCCTCTGCTATGGAGACAGGCTGGGAGAGCTGAGGGTGTTCAGCCTGGAGAAGAGAAGGCTTTAGGAAGACCTCAGAGCCCCTGCCAGTGCTTAAAGAGCCTCCAGGAGAGCTGGAGTGGGACTTTGGACAACGGCATGGAGGGACAGGACAAGGGGGAGTGGCTTCATCCTGCCAGAGGGCAGGGTTAGATGGGATACTGGGCAGAAATTTTTTGGCTGTGAGGGTGGTGAGGCGCTGGCACAGGTTGTCCAGAGAAGCTGTGGCTGCCTCATTCCTGGAACTGTTCAAGGGCAGATTGGGTGGGTCTTGGAGCAACCAGGTCTAGTGGAAGCTGTCCCTGCCCTTGGCAGGGAGTTTAGAACCAAAGATCTTTTAAGTCCCTTCCAAGCCAAACCATTGTTATTCTGTGATGAATATTTCTAATTCATGTCCAATCTCAGCGCTTTAAGTTTTTGTTTCTAGACCAGTGGTTGCCCTTTCACTTTTTTTCCGAGATTCACACCAGTACAGCCCATGGGACTCAAAGTTTTTCCTGAAGTAAATGTGGCAAAGCATCAAGGGAAACTGGTGGAGTTATTAGTCCTCCTGACTCAGTCTACACGACATGCAATCAATATGGCACTGTCCTGCATGTTATCCAATGTGGATATGTGGATGGAAATAACTGCTAATGACTAAGCAGCTTGGTTGCTTCCTCTGCTGCACCAGGAAACCAGCACAACACAAGGTTCATTGGCATTTACCAAAATCTTGGTTATCCTGGAGTTTTCTTTTCCAGTTTATGCAGGACCTGTGAACAACACAACATTCTTGTGGCCATTAAGAGCTGGG